ATCCAAATGAGAATCTGTGGCAAGACCTGAAAATTACTATCCAAAGACGCTCTCCATCCAATCTGACAGAGCTTGAGCTATTTTGCAAAGAATGGGCAAATATTTCACTCTCTAGATGTACAAAACTGATAGAGACATACTCAAAAAAAGACTTGCAGCTGTAATTTAATTGCAGCGAAAGGTGGCTCTACAAAGTATTGACTTGGGGGCTGAATACAAATGCATGCCACACTTTTCAGATATTTGTAAAAAATTTTGAAACCCATTTATCATTTTCCTTCCACTTCACAATTATGTGCCACTTTGTGTTGGTCTAGCACATAAAATCCAAATAAAATACATTTACGTTTTTGGTTGTAACATAACAAAACGTGGAAAATTTCAAGGGCTATGAATACTCTTTCAAGCAGGGTGTGTATAATTACATTGGCCAAGCTGATGTAACTATACAGTAAAATGCATATCTAAACTTAAAGCCAAACATTTGTTTTATTGTTTGGTTTTGAATAGAGGCATTACTAGATAGCAGTAAAATAGGATAGGAATTCTAAATTATTCTTTACTCTATCCAAAAAAAAAAAAAAAAAAAAAAAAAAAAAAGGTTTTGGCTAGACAAGCACTATGAAGAATAAAACACTGACACGTTGTTAAAGAGGTGCTTGTCTAAGTGTGCCCTAAAGTCAATGTTTTTGATGTATAATGTAGTATCAGGGGGTACATCGTAGTGGGCTGACAGCACAACTCACAGTACTAACTGGATCATGTAGGTAAAATGGATTTTTTTTTTTTTTTTAACATAAATCCCGTTTCCTTTTCATTAACATACTAGCAAATCAAAATGCAAATAACTTACATTGTTAAATAGGAAAACTAATCTTCACTCTTGCTATAACTTGGCAGTTAAAATTCAAAACAATTAAAATTTTGAGTACTCCACATATATACAAGTTCAACTTTTCTTTATGTTTTACAGGCTAACATGTATTCTCTTTGAGAATGCTAACAATAAATGACGTAAAGACATAGTGATCTATGCAAAATAAACATGTACATGCATGTCAGGCTACAAAATTATCACTGCAAATGAATTTACCAACTAGCTGGTTAGAACAAACAAGATAATCCCAAAACAGTCACAAAGCATCCCTGGCAGACTGTTTAAAGTTCTGCTGAACTCTGGAAGCTGTGCCCAAAAAAGACATGTAGAGGGCAAAGGACTAGTCACCAGTATTGCCTGTGATTTCCCTACAGGAAACTTTCTTCCATTACTGGGTTTCTGTGTGGTGGTGGCCATCTTGGTGGAGGCAAAGCTTTGCTTCCTCTTATCAGTCTCCAGCAAGAACAACCAGCATGAAGGTAAATAAACCTTCAGGCTTTAGAACCACTTTAATGTAACGCTGTTCAAACCTATCTTCAATGGTCACGTTTTTCAGATTTTTTTTTTTCACAGAAAAATAATCTACTTCTTTTAAACTTTGCTTAGAGGCACAGCATTCCCTTCCATGTTATTTTTTGTTTAATGCTCCTTACCTTAGTTGCTTGGCTATCCTCAAAATACATACTCACATGCATGCTAGACCCAAAGTCTCCATCTTCTTTACTTACAGGGATGAATGCCCCGAATGCAGAAAGTCCACTCAGGTCACACTCTGAGATGCAAGTACCACTCGGGACAGCATACAGCAGTTGCCTATTTTAACCTGTCATTAATTTTGATTTGCTTCCAGCACCGGGCTATAGGCTGCCCCCCAGCCTCTTGGGAACTGAAATGCACCATTTTTATTTACACTGTACCACCAGTATGCATGAGACCTAAAGGAAGGCCCATAGCAAATGGATTCAAAATTGTGAAATGAGGGAATCTGATCATTTGCTAGAGGCAATGCACAATTTCCTTCAGAAATGTTCATACAAAAAGCCCAGAACTGCTTTATAAATGTGGACTACAGCTCCATACATGTAGTCACTCTTTGTTCTGGAAGTCCTGCCACAGGTAATAAAAAGGTGTCCCCTGTAAAGTCTTATATCAGCAGTCACAATACAATCGACAGGGGATCAGCCATTTCAACGAAAAATATTACTAGAAAAATACCAGCTAGAATGGAGCTTGGCTGCCACGGGCTCCACCTCAACTTTTCTGTGCACAGCTTTCAATATATTAGGGCCAATCACCTGCCCTTTTTTTTTTTTTAAAGTGATCCAAATCACCTCTGTACAACAATTAGATTACTGGAAGCCTGTTCTGTAGCGATTTAGTGGCCAGCAGGAGGAACCACATCATGTAGCTGGGGACCAAGAATCTGACACAATAAAAGAGCTCTTCAGGATAACAAAGGTTTTACCACCCCATCAGTAAGAAAAGTATCAAGTTTCTCCTTTCACAGACTTTTAAATGATCACATTTTTGTACTGTGGCCATGGGGTTGCTTTAGGGGGTGTGTCCATCCAAAACCGATATTGCTGTCTCTGGTAGATTAGCCACCGGCTTCTTCCATCTTTGGGTTGTGGAGGCGATGCCTGCAATCTGTCACCCTTGGTATTTCAGTTTTGCTTCAGCAAAAAGGAAAATTGACTTCCTACTGCATTCATTATCAAGAATGAAAATACATGAAAAACGGTTTGAGTGGGACCCCTTTTGCAATGACAAAGCTGGGAACCCCCCCGTAATCCACCAAAGATTCTGGGAGATGGGAGGTGTCTATGGGCAATTATACTTTCCAGCATCCAGGAAAACTAGAATATCTGTTTGGATGGACCAAAGTATAAAGTTGTGTAGCCGCATCAAGCAGAAGTTAAATCCCAACTACTCAGCCTGTCTAGAGCTGAAGCAGAATCCACATCCTTTATTACTCTTTGCAAGGTCAGAAGAGGTGAGTGGTGCGTCATGCTGCCATATAATGGCCTGTATTAAACAGGCTCCCCACTTCTCCCAACCATCTTTCTGTACCTTTTTCGACACTGTAAGGAATAGTGCACCAACTCTGCACAGGCTGAGCAATTGAGATAAAGCTTTCTGCATGATACAGGTACACTACTATATTTTCAGCATCGCAACATATTGGCTGCCTAATTTATGATGCATTTTTTGTTAAACTACAGTCATCCTTTAAGGCCCAGACCCATACAGTGTTTTTTTACATTTTTTAAATACGGTCGAATAATCACTATGACTCACTTTAATCTATAGCAGATTTTTTTTTACTTGGTTGTAAAGGCTCAAGATTTTTTAACCTAAATGCATTCTCTGCATTAAGGTAAAAATCCTTCTGTTAGCAGCCACTGTTAAATACTTACCTGAGCCCGATCTTGATCAAGCGATGTGCATGAGAGTAAAGGCTCTCCCAGGTCTCCCTCTCCTCACTGGCTGAGGCATAGCAGCGGGAGCCATTGGCTCCCACTGCTGTCAATCACAGCCAGTGGGGAAGGAGTGGGCTAAGCCATGCTCTGTGTGTTTTATACACACTTAGAGCTGGCTCGGGGATGAGCATGCATGAGTACCTACAGGGAAGGCCGCTTGCTATAGAGGCACTTACCAAGGGGGAGGGGCCAGGAATGCCAGTCAGGGACCCGAGTAGAGGAGGAGGGGGCTGCTCTGTGCAAAACCATTGCCCGAGCAGACAAGCATAACATGTTTTCAGAAAGTACAGGAAATTGTACTTGTGACTCTATGCTCCATCAGAAAGGTGTTTATGATATACACCAGTTCTGGTGTTGTGTGCCCTCTCCCTCTTTGCCATTCACAATACAGACTCTGATTATGCTGCAGCCATGCTCTGTGAATGGCAAAGCACAGAAAGGCGTTTAGGCACAACACTGGAAGTAGCATCTATCATAGACACTGTACCACTGCAGCGGGGAGCCGCCAACTACGTCTCCCTGTACTTTTTGGCATCAGCACAGTGGAGCTTAGGAAAAGTTATGTGTGAGAAAAAAAAAAAAAAAAATCAGTGATGGATTAAAAAAAAAACATCGCAAAAAAAAAAAAAAAAAGTGTCTGGAGCTGGGCTTTAATAAAGGAAAACAATTTGTTTACAGACAACTTCCCAGATGACCACTCAAGCGCACTACAGTTTCTGCAGTCTTTGATGCTTCCATGTCATAGCATGCTGATGAAAGGGGCACGAAACCCCAACTAACAGATAAACGGAGAAAAGCAATTAGGACTGCCACACATTCACAAAGACTGAACCAATTCATATTTAAGACTACTGCCAGCCAGGGTACATGCAGAGCTAATTCTCAGAGATACGAGGGTTACAAGCTTGATGTATATTTGCTGCCAAACGTTTCCTAATAGCACAATGGCTTATAAACTCTGTACAACTTAGCATCCACGCTAATGCTGAATTAAGTCTTTCAACGTCCAATCGGTGACTGCAACTTTCCACTGAGGGCTGCCAGTATTCCTTCCTGTTACTTCCAACAATTGTGATGCAGCTAGTAAAAAAAAAAAATTAACTATATTTTCTTACAGCATAATCTCCCAAAATCACATATTTACAGTATTTAGGCTCCCGCGATGGTTTTGACTTCTTTTAGAGCATTTTATGAGAGAAGTATCTTCTTAAGAACAAATGTCATCTATCCATTCTGTCCAGGATATTCATTTGTTTGTATCATGTGTCATATACAGTCCAAGCTGAGCAGTGCAAATGGCAAGTACAGTCAAAACACATGAATGTCCATATTTCATGAAATTCACTTAATAAAGAGTCCTAAAATAAAATTTAAAAGAGAACAGCGGTGGCTGCACCAAATGGAGGGTGATAGGAAGGGATTTGCAGTGGCCTTTTTAAAGTGAGGTCCTAAATGGATTCATGCTCACAGCAACATGGTGTAATGTAGCAACCAGGTGTATGATAATACTGACATCCTCATCCTATACACGCCTCTGTCAACTAGTTCAAAAGCATTATCTACTCCGCTCTAGAACGGTTTCATACAAATAACACACAGACCTCAACATATACTAGGTGGATTTGCACAGGACGGCTCCATGATCACTTGCAGGGTGGCGGACTTGGAAATAAAGAATTGCCATGCCGCGTAAGGTGCCTTTCAAGGTTATCCAGGATGGAGATGGTAATACGCAGAACATCCACGTTGGCACCTGCGTGGTCTCTGATATTGTGCAGTTTCATCAAACCGCCCTCTTCAATTAGCATGCTGCAGTATCGAACAGCTGTAAAGAGAGAAGCAAGAAGGTTATAAAGAAACAAGAAATTTGCACAACAAATGCATACACTAATCCGCTAGAACATTATGACCACTGACAGGTTACATAGATAACATTGATTATCTTGTTACAATGGCATCTGAAAATGGGTGGGATATGTTAGTTAGCAAGTAAACATTTTTATCCCGACGTTGGGGGGGGGGGGGGGGGGGGGGGGAAAGGGCAAGCTTAAGGATTTGGGCAACTTTGACTACCGGGTCAGAACAACTCCAGAACTGCAACTCTTGTTGTGGGATGTTCTTGGTCTGCAGTGGTCAGGATCTACCAAAAGGGCCAAGGAAGGAAAAGCAGGGGTTTTAACCCAGGGACAGGGTCATGGGTGGCCAAGGATCAGTGATGCACTTGGGAAGTGAAGGATGGCCATTGTAGTGTGATTCAATGTAAGAGCTACAGCAGCTCAAATTGTTGACAAATGTATTGCTGGTTCCAATAGAAAGGTGTCAGAACACACAGAGCATCGCAGTTTTCTGTGTATGGGGCTGCGTAGCTGCAGACCAGTCATGGTACCCATGGTGACCAGTGTCCACAACCAAAAATACCTACAATGGGCACGTGAGCATCCATACTGGACCACAAGAATAATGGAAGAAGGTGGCTTGATCTGATGGATTCAAGAATGGTTTGAGGAGGTCAAGGTGATGACTGGGCCTCCAATTTCTACAGATCTCAATCTAATTGATCATCTGTGGGATGTACTAGATAATAATAATAAAAAAAAAAAAAAAAGTCTGATCCATGGAGAATTTAGGGGATCTGCTACTGATGGTTTGGTGCCAGATACCACAGCATACCTTCAGAGGTCTAGTGGAGTCCATGCTTTGAAAGGTTTGGACATAATGTTATGGCTGATTGGTGTATATTGGCACAAGAGAGGGCAAATCGTGCTGTTTCTCCCAGTACAACTTGCCCATGGTTACACAATTTGCTTGTGATTTGTCCATGCAGGGTTTTAAAGACCAGTCCGCCTACAGAATACATACTCACCATTCCTGAACCCACCTACTTCTCTGTTCAGCCACCAGTTATAGAGGAGCCAATCACCAGCTATGTCAAGTGGGGGCAGGCACACAGGTAGCCCTGTGTAGCCCAAATCTGAGCGCTTATTTAGGGCTGTATTGGGATACAGGCAGAAAATTACATAAAGCAATATACTAGCATGAGACTGCACCACTTGGCCTGTACAAGATGGTAACAAAATTTAAACAAAGCAGCACAAGCAAGGAATGAAGGTGCATCTAATACTCAAACAATATTTTGTAGATTGCAGTTTATCAGTTATTAGGTGTGGTGGCTTAGTGTTTGCTTTTTGGGCTTTTCCCCCCCCAATTTGTATTCACAAAACGCTGCCAGTAACACGCCCTGTCCTATGCTGACAGCCTCAAAAGTATATCTATCTATATCTATGGAGTCTGGACAACAAACATCCCCCACCACTACTATATAGGGTGGAGGTGTTTACAGAAGATAGCTTAGAAAACTGATAACATTGTTCAAGACCTCAATTCAGTGCACAGAAAAGTTAAAGGTTGTCTAAACACAAGAATAAAAAAAATAACATTTTCCATTACAGAAAATACCTGTTGATCTTGGCAGAAATGCAGTGTCCCTACCACTTCTTATGAGCTATACAGAAGTATATCTTCCTTTCACACTGAACCGCATGAATAGATCAATCCCTCTACTGGGCTACTGCATTCTGACAGCCGTGGGCAGGCACTTTAGTCCACAATTTTCCAGCAGGCGCCTTTAACAAATTGTAAATTGAACAATTGACTTTTGTTGAGCAGAGCTGGCAGGGCCAGTTTCTAATGAACAATTTGCTCAATGTATGGCTGGCTTTACAAGAACATTACAAAATCAGGAAAGATCAATAAGATTTTTTCAGTACTTGCAAAAAATGTTCTTGACCTGAAAAAGAAAAAACTAATGCAGCCACCACATCTAGGTGCTGGTAAGCTGCAATATATTACATTTTTGTTCTAGGTTTTTGATTACTTTAAATCTCCAACTCATACAATCTTGCTGCAGAGTCGTATTTTGGAAGGCATATAGTACCCACATTGTGCAAAGTAGAATAACAGCACAAGCATAACAAAGTTAACCTTGCATATCGCATAAAATGAAAAGATGTTCCACACACAACACAAATATATCATAAAGCGAACAATGAGTCTTCCAGTAATACATACGATTTTTGCTGCAGACGTGCTGCATAGCCCATACAGCCCAGAGCTGCACACCGGGTGTGCGGAAGCATGCCAGCAGTGGGAAGAAAGGGTTAAAGGACCTGCAATGAGAACAGGTGGTCAGTCTAAATTGCTTTGTCCTCAAACAGCCATAAAAACCAAACTCTATTGATAACTGTATTCACTTTCTGGTGTTCGGGCCTGTTCACACTGGTGTGCTTTTTTCCCCCCGCTAAAAAGCACCTTTTACACCACGACAAAAGTGCTTCAAAATGGATCTCTGTAATCTCTGCACATGATCACGCTGCAGGTGAGCTGCACTTTGAAAACCTGTATGCTGCATCTTTGGTGCCCGGTTTCAAAATGTGCATTTAAAAAAAACAAAACAAAAACACCACACACACCTTCCATTGCAGGTCAATGGGAATGCATCAAAAACGCAGCACGATGCATTTTGTGAGTCACTTGTCCATGCTGGAAGTCAGGAAAACAGAAAATGCACCAAAAACACATTCAAACTGGGTTAAAACCGCAATATACTTTTCTTCCCAAAAAGCATACCATGCTTTTAAGCGCTCCAGTGTGAATGTAGCCTAAACCAGGTTTGCTGAATCTATTATCTTCCTATATTTCTTACTTGCAGCAGTTTGTGCCTCCACTCTCTACTTACAAAGCCATAGAGATGGTGTCTCTCACAGATGGATTTCCTACTTATGTTCTTAACACTATAAAGAACACTATACACCACCTCTAGAACCACAAGACCCTACAAAAAATGGATGAAGTTGGCTTTAAATTGTGTTGCGAAATCAAGCAATTGAAAAAGCCCTCCAGCAAGGTAGTCTTGAAACTTTAAAGAACAGGTTCACCTTTCATAACACGTTACACCCATATTTACCCATATCAAAATTCCCACTAGCTGTTGCTCATCCACAGTGTTCTGTGAATAAGAAACTGCCGTGGTAGTTCATTGATTTTTCCTGCCAGTATATCTGCTTGTCCATACATCCCGTACGGGAAAAACAGATATACCGACAGGTCTACAGGAGACCTGCATAGCACCAGTGATCTGCTGATAGCCAGTGCAATGTTTTACAGCAGGCCTTGAAATTTCCCCAAGGGCCATCTTGCTGAGCAGGCTTGAAGCTTAGGCCGGATTTGTCATTGGCACTGGAGGAAAGACTGCTCAATAGCGGAGCGCAGTGAAAGCAAAGGAAGGAGTGAGTGCTGTGCTCTCTGTCTCACCCTAGAGTGCAGTACCCGGCTCTGTGAGTGAACAACGAAGTACTGCAATTTTTTTTATAGGGATGTGCGTGGGTGTGTGTGTGTGTGTGTGTGTGTCTACCTAATTTCAGCTCACTCTGGTCAGATGATCCTCTATGTCAGCCAGTGGTGGCTTCAGAGGAGAGAGCTGTTAACAGCATGCGTGCGTGTACATGTGTGTGTATGCATGTACGTGTGTGTGTATGTACATGTGTGTATCTGTACATGTGTCTGTGTGTATGTACATGTATGTGTGTGTGCACGCGTGTATGTATGTACATGTGTCTGTGTATGTATGTACATGTGTGCCCATGTGTGTGCGCATGTACATGTGTGTGTATGTACGTACATGTGTATGTATGTACATGTGTCTGTGTATCTATGTACGTGTGTGTGTACATGTGTCTGTGTGCATGTATGTATGTGTGTACGTACGTGTGTGTATGTACGTGTGTTTGTTGGTAATTTTTAAGGCCTGGCTAGTAGCTCAGGACTTGAAATTTTAAGCCCTGCTTTACAGGCTCCTGCAACAAAAAATAAATACACATTTCCTCACCTGCAAAAAAAAGTAAATTTTTTTTTTTTTTTTTTTTTTTAAGCAAAAGGTGAACTTATCCTTTAAGTATTTTAACCTGAAAATACCTTGCAGCTTCCCATTTAAAACTCATCGTTCATGTTCTTAAATCTTCATGTCACATCCACAATATTGCTACATCAAACTGAAAGCACATACATAGCACTACTGCACAAAGTATTATGTACAAAACTGAGACAGCAGCAATATATTGGATCTTACCTATAAGCAACCATCTCACATTCTGGTGTTGGCCAGCCAAGTATGGCAGAATGCTGGAAAAACATAAAATCAAGAAGGCAGTAAATACGAAGCCTGAAGTTACACAATCTTTCGAATCTGAAGAGGCAAAAGCATGCCATTGCCAACTTCCGTCTTCAGCTGGAAAGTGCAGTCAAATGCTAACTATACCTAAAAATACGACTATCCCCAATCTGAGCCTATTCTAACTACCGCATAAAGGAAAGACGTGTATACTTACCTATTCTGAAGGCACTCTGATCCGGCTACATGATCAGCTCCCAGTGGCTGGCTTCAGGAGAGAGGAGGGACAGCAGACAATGGATGCCCCGTAGTAAACCTATGGGTAATGTAATGCCTAGGTAGTGATATCTGTTGTCAAAACTCTCTCCTCTCTACTGAAGTCGGCCACTGGGGAGATCCTGTGACTGGACCCGAGCACTCTCAGAATAGGTAAAGGTTTCTTCACAGTAAGAGCTGTGAAAATGTGGAATAGACTCCCTCAAGAGTTGGTTCTGGCCAGCTCAGTGGCTTGCTTCAAAAAAGTCCTGGATTCTTTCTTGGATACACAGAATATAACTGGATACTAACATTTATAGGTAAAGTTGATCCAGGGAATATCCCATTGCCTCTCGGGGGATCAGGAAGGAATTTTTTTTCCCAGCAGGAGCAAATTGGATCATGCTTTGCTGGGTTTTTTTTTTGCCTTCCTCTGGACCAACTGTGGCTATAGGATTATCACTTTTTTTTTCTGTGGTTGAACTGGATGGACTTTTGTCTTTTTTCAGCCAGACTAACTATGTAACTATGTAGGTAAGTATATACATCTTTCCTTTACAGGATAGTTAATATAGGCTTAGAATGGGGGTGGGAGCAAGTTTAGGTATAGTTAGCATTTGACTGGAATTCCACTTTAAAAAGGACTTTGTCATGAGAGTAGTATGGGGGCCATTACAGCCCGACTTCTGAAAATGCTAGAAGCTTGGCTGCGTCTGAATTCAGTAAGTTTCTGGCACAGACTTGTAACAAGCATAGGCCAAAAAGGAATGTCAGGAAATTGTCAGAACTACTTCGTCTATGCTTGTTCCAGGGTCAGTGACAGCATTGACAGTGTGCACCTGGATTGATTCCTTTTTCAGATAAGTCTTTCATAACGTCCTAGTATGTGATACATACTAACACATTATGCCATTAACTTGCACGGGGGCCAGATTTTCTCCCAGGATTGACTACCGCTTTAAAACTGAATCCAAATAAACTGTCAAACACAGAAGAAATATATATAAAAAGGGAGCTGTCTTACCTGCCAAATCATATGTACCACACAGCAAAGTTTTCTGTGGCAGATCAAGAGACCTGATTTTTCTATGCTGCAGTTTAATGATACTTATAAGTCCCTGACCCACTTGCACTCGAACCCACTGTAGCTAAACAGTCAAAAGGAGAAGCAGCAGACTAATAATAATAAGCTCATCACTCTCGTCACTCTGCTCTCTTCTCCTATCAGTATATTCCTTGCAGTGTGGCAGCTTCTTACCCTATTCTGTGCTCCGCTGTGCAGGGACTGCAATAGACTGACACAGTCAAATGCATTTACTTACACTTTAATTTCACTTGCATATAACATAATAAAGGTAATTATGAATACAAAGCTGCATTAATTTGTTTCCTTTAGATCGGACTATATTTCAGACTTAATTAAATGGACTCCCATTGCCTACTTCATTCTGAAAATGCTAGTTGCTTGGTTGTCTGCCTTTAGTTCTAGGGCTTTTTCACACCATGGTGCAGAGACGTCAGTTTTTTCTGCACGCGTGCTGCAAGGGTACAGCAGAATCAATTGTTCTCTATGTGTCCTGTTCACACAACACTAGTATCAAGTGCAGATTTTTTCTGTGCAGGAATCTGCAACGTGTATAAAACTCATTGAGGAGCACATGAAAACTGATGTAGACTGATGTCCCTGCAAGTGAAATCTGCATATCAGTTTCCATCAGTTTTTCTGCATGCATGGTGTAAACGAGCCCTTAGTGCCTGGAGTAAATAAACGAGCAGATAATACTATCCGCTACACAATGACACCATGGCCTGCATTTTATGACAAACTCACAAAATGCAGCAGAGAACTCTGTAATTGGAGGAGGGACCAGTCACATGACTGACAGGTCATTGTGACTGGGTTATTTTTTTTTTTTTCTTCACACAATTCATTCTAATAGTGTTAGCTTGCTTTGGAGTCCTGAGACCAGCAGAGCATTGAGCACTTTATAAACTGAGCCTGAAGCCTTCGTAGTCTACTGTGAAGTAGGACAGTAAGGTAAACATGATCATGTGTGATGTTCTACTCGGTCTACTTACCAGTTGCTCTAGCAGCGTTTCCCTTAAGCCTGTGCTGAGGGTCCAGGTCTCTTCTCCCCGGGATACTAGATGTGCAATGATTCCCGCTGCAAAATAACTGACCTCCACCTCTACACTGTGCAAAAGCTTGCTGATTTGATCAATGAAGTCCTTCCACATGAGCTCCGAGTGCAGCTCCTTCACCTCCGCTATATTATTCTATAAAAAAGGTACAAGGAGGGTTTGTAAGTTGAATAGAAAAAAAACACACACACTTAAAAGGGTTAGTTCCCCTTTACCAATAAACTGCCTATGCAGGAGTCTGTAGATAAAAACAAACTGTGCAGCTCTTACTGAAGTTGACGAATATCCTTGCTTTAGGTGTAGGCCATTTAAGTACCTCGTGAAGCCTGACTGGAATACTACCAAGACCTTGCTAAGTGAGGCCTAGTCATTTCTGGCACCTCCACCATCACAAGAGAGCTCAGAGCTACTACATTAGGGGAGAGAAAAAGAGCATGTGAGGGGGTCTGAATCAGAGAAAAAGGTTACTCCTGTGATGATTGGAGTGAACAGTAATGACTAGGTCTCGCTTAGCAGCGTCCTAGGAGTATTCCAGTCAGGATTCATGAGTTATGTAAATGGTCTACTCCTATAGCAAGGACATTATTCAGTCAGAGACACAGTTTGTTTTTATCCACAGACACCCCTTATCTGCATAGACAGTGGTTTGGTAAAAGGTGAACTATCCCTTTAAAAGATGAAAAGTAAAAAACACACACACACACGCACGCACACACACACACACACACACCTATATTTTCTCCAAAACTGGTTTAGAGGCACTCATGGGCCTTGCAATAAAAACACTGCTGTGTTTGATCTTCCTCCTCTGCAAGACCCACGAGGGCCTCAAAACCAGTTTTGAAGAATATATTTATTTATTACACACATACATAAATACACACGTTCATACATACCCCTGATCAGCCATAACATTACAACCACTCACCATAACCTGTCAAGGCATGGACTGAACTCTTAAGGTCTGAAAGACCCATATGCAGCCAACTGTGATGTGCTGTATGTCCTCATACCTTTCGGTTGGAACCAGCATTAATTTTTTAGGAAATTTGAGCTACAGAAGCTCTTCTATTGGAAAAGCCACATGCATCAATGAGCCTTGGCTGCCCATGACTTTGACCACCGAAGAACGAGAGAGAGTGTGTGTGTGTGTCTGTGTGTGTCAGGCGGCGATTCTTCAAGCACTTCAGTAACCTCCATGCAGGTAGACAGCTCTACAGAGTGAGTATCTGCAGGAGCCTGGCATTGCACCTGCAATCCACTGCACATTTCTTTTACCTGCAAAATCATTTGCATTTATTATATTTTTACAAAAGGTGAACTTAATTATTTAAATAGTGGTATATGTTTTCTGTTCTATAGCATATTTCCTGAGGTAGGCATATCTTCATTAATTTTCTGACTAAAGTTCCACTTTGAAACAAAACCACTAAAAGGTTTTACATATAAAATTAAACAACATTGGAAGTCATTGCCTGCTCATTTACAGTTAATAAGTATTTCTACATTGCCCCAGGCCTTGAATGCATTTGCTTGATATCAGTGGAAACACAAGCCTAAACATTGCATACAAGCAGTGTTCTAACACGATTACCAGGAGTGCCAGCACACATGCAAGGAGCAGCTCCCTAGACTGGTTTAGACAAGGCACAAAAATTACTGGAGCGGCAAAGCTCAGAAAACTGCCAAAGACACAAACAACATGAAGCCATTGTCTCTTTCTTACCAGCAAACCCAGAACTTTCTGCTGGATGGACGACTCTGAAGGAAAAGTCTTAAGCAAAAAAGAAAAAAAAAAAAAAAGTAATTAAACTGTTGAGCATAAGCTTTAAAAACCAAAACATTTAACTTTTTTGTTTGCTCCCCTTTTTGTCTTAAATTGTTCTGTGGTCCTAATCACTTCATGCCCTGGGGTACCAACACTGCTCCTTCACAAATACAATACAATGAGTGTTGTCTCTGGCAGGATCGTCGGGTGAAAAAAAAAAAAAGGGGTAAAAAGCCTGAGAAACGAAAACTGGTGCAGCCACCACGAACTGATAAGGTCCAAATGCATATTTTGTTATTTACATTTTAAATAAGAATCCCAGCCCAACAGTAAAGTGTTCCCCCCCCCCCCCTGCTACTTATATTGCCCAAGCGGTGTAAATACAGAAGCATATACTTACCCTTTTTTCAGTCTGCTCTGGTCATGTAATCCTGTAGTTCTGGCTCCCATGTGTCACTCAGCAGCTGCTGCAGGGGAGATTAGGAAGTGCCGACAACCATTGAGCTATGGGAGCCTATGAGCGACATCACAGCTCCCGAGAATTCCCACCTGTTGTCGAGTGCTCCCTCCTATCCTCAGCAGCTGAAACTCACTTACACAGGGGATCACGGACTGACTGGACTAAAAATAGGCAAGTATACATGAATGGGGGGAGGCAGACATTTTTAAGTCTAGTTAGTGTTAGGTTGAAATTGTAATTTAAGATATGCCCTGAAAGTTTTAATTATTTTGTGAGCAAAAAGCGATATTTGGGATAAAGTGAGAGGAGTCACGTGATTCTATATCTGGGGGAAAGTTTGCCCACAGAAGCAAAAAGGGATAAGACCAGAGTGACCTGAAGCTAACAAAGGTTTGGGGGATAAGGGCATGCATAGATCAGGGTGTACTGATCCAACAGAGCCACCAAAGCCATCCACTGCTATACCTGAAGACAACCCTATCCAGTTTATTGATGAACGTGGAGAAGAGATCCACATGTGGAATCCACCACTTGCAACACAAGTCCTGTACATCTCCAGATGCAGGGACCACTATCTTTGCTTTAGGTGCTGAAGGTTGGAATGTGAAGTTCTGCACAAGACAGTTCTCTCTCTTTTGCGGAGGCAAAAATTCTGGTTCCTCCGTGACAATATTGTACGCCATCGCCGTAGAAATGTCCTACTGAAATGAGATCCAATGACTCTCTAGTAGGATGGTCCAAAGATGCAGCACAAAACTTCCTAAAGTTCCAGGATGTTGATGAGACTCCTCTGATAATCAAGAACCTTTACCAACAGAGTGCCCATGGCTCCTCTAAAGCCTGGACAGGCTGGCACTCATTGTGAGGGTCCTCTAAAAAGATAGGTAGGAAAGACTTCTGACATCAGAGCCAGATTGCAAAGCCACCAAGCCAGGGACAACCTGGTCGTCAGTGACAAATAAAAATCAGTCTGTCCAGGGAGAGCTGCAAGACAAGCGGCTGAAAGACAGAAGCACATACTGGTAGTGCAGGGGCTCCAAAGCAAAGCATAGGGAACGCTGATACACTGGAAAGATGGGGACATAAAGGCAAGCACCCTTGATGTCCACAGAAGCCAGAAAGACTCCCCATTGAAGAAAGCCGATAACAGATTTGTAAGATTCCATGCAGAAAAGATTCAAAGCTTTGCGACTCAAGATGGGTGGATACACCCTTGGGTTTTGGAATGGTTAACAGGCTAGAAAAACTGTTCTGCCACAGGAACCAAAGAAATGACACCTCAATGCAAAAGACCCAAGTGGACTTGATGGAGATTTGATAATTTGTGTGGCAATACAGGAAACTTGGCCAAAAAAACCAAGGTGGCAGGGAATGAGACTCTAGTTTGTAGCCTTTGGATCAAAGCATCTGCAAAGGTTAGCAAATGTCCAAGCACTCTAGAAATCGGAAGCAGACCTTTATGCAGAGAAAAACTTGTCTGGAGGACTTGGCAGACTGAGTGCCAGACCCTGCATGTGGTCTGGAAGCCAAGCTTGGAGGGAGGGGCTCTCAATGTGGAAGGCGGGGGAGTGGAGAAATGAAAGAATTTCTTAACAGAGAGAGGCTTCTGCCACTGAGGAATATGGATGCTCTTGCCATCAGTAGCATACTTTATAATGTTGTCAAGAGGTGGTCAAAGATGTTGTCACTTGAAGGACGCGTGGATCAGATTTGTATTTTTTATACATGGGTTCCATAGTCCAAGACATTAGCCAAAGTGCCCTATGCATATGTGACGTCGTGAGACACGTGCAAAAGATGAGACCAGAGGCTTCCAGCAAACAGTGACAAGCAAAGTTTAATAGTACAGCTATGTGTGCTTTACATGTTCCAAAGGCAAGGGATCAGCCACAGTAGTGATTACACCTCTTAAGGAATCTTGAGCAATCAAGACAAGGTTTGACAAAAGAAAAGTCACGTCGTAGATTGGGTGAAGGGCAGAACCAAACAGGGAGACCTGAGCTCTAGCAAAGGGCTTTCAACCACTTATCAGTTAGGTCCTTTTGGTATCCACAGTGGGAATGGACCACTTCTGTACAAAATAAGTCACCAAATGGATACAAGGCTAAAAAAGTGCTTGGATGGAGCAAAAAACTTATCAGGATACTTCCAATTTCCATAAATTAACAATTCAAAAAGTGGGTGCAACGAGAAAGTCTTTGCTACCTGAGGAGATTTCAATGTCTCAAGGCTGGAGACAACATGAGTAGAATCAACATGCTGATCCTCTAGTTTCAGAGTAGTGTGCACTGCATCAATAAGAGACACAAAGGTCACTTTTAAATTGGGAGTAATAGCAAAGGACTGACTCCTCAGGGGTAAGCTCATCAGTCATGGACTGGAGCATCTCATACAGAGTTTACGTGACCACCAGTTTAGAAGCCACCAAGATTGCAGGAATCAGATATAGGAGAGGGCACACAAGTATGCAAATGGTGATTTGGGCCAAAAAGTTTTGAAAGAGGTAAAAAGGACTCTGAGGATGGATTAGAGTCCAAGACCAGAGGGCAACATGACTCTAGGTTGTAGATGCCAGCACAGTTAGTAAGTGTGCTGCAGGCAGCCCTGGAGCCAATAACAGAAAGTAATCTGAAGGCTCTGGATACAGCAAGTTTAACGCCCCCTTCCCCCCCATCATGGTAAGAGGCAAGGTCTCAAATACTCATTAAACCCAGACAGCTGGTAGCAGGCAAGGATGGCTAGAAATGACCAAAGTCTCTGAAGGCAGGCAGCAGGAATGGAGTTCAATTCTTGCAAGTAGGAGGAGCAGTTGGGAGGTGCTTTCCTGACTGCATGAAAGGAAAGAGCACAGTCTGCATGCAACACTCCACGCAGCAAATGACATCAGCGCTCAGTCCCTTGGTGTTCACTTCTTCCATAGAGAAAAACAAAAAACAAAAGAAAAAACACAGAAATAGGGAAAAAAGGCATCTGGTGATCTGTTTAAATGAGGTAGTTTCCAGGGCTTAGTCAGATTGGCCCACTAAGCGAGTCTTCACAACCAAGGCAAGTGCTGGGGAAAAGCCATTCTGGACCTAGAGAGCGCTCTGCAGCTAACTTTTATTACAGCAGAATCTAGAAAAAGACCCAAGAGGAGCCAATGCTGGAAGGTCAATGCAATGTCCAGTCCAGTGGGGTCCAAACACTATCAAAAGCCAGGCTGAGGATGACCAGGCCAGATAGCTGAAATTAAAGAGACAACATTCCAGTGGATGTGGAGAAGAGTCTTGACTGAAGAAAAAAAAAAAAATATGCAAGAAGGAATAAAAAGGCGCTAGCAAAAGAAATGTTAAAAGAGAAAAAAAACTCTTTTTTTGAGAGCAAGCAACTATACACATCTGCTTGTTCTCAATCAGCAGGGGTCCCCCCCCCCACTGACAATCAGGAACTAGTCTAATGATCAGAAAATAATGCAGGCAGGAGACTTATTTGCAGAGCCATCCATTAATAAATGTAACGGTCAGAATCAATTTGAAAATAAAATATATATACATTTTTTTTCATACATTTTTGGGCAAAAATTATTGAAGCATGCAAATTAGTCGCATTGCTTAGTTACCAAACACATGTGAAGGGTTGATTTTGCATATACACTTCTGAAAGGTTTGTTAAAAGTGAAGTTATTCTTTACCTCTAGGACCTTCATGAAGAGCTCCAGTCCCTGGTTCTCTATAAAGTGGCGGCATGTAGTTGGAGATTCATCTGTCAGGTTCCACAAGGCACTGAGGGTGAACTTTAAAGTGGTGTCCACCAAGCTCTGGCTGGTCTTCTGTCGCACTATTTGCAAAAGTTGCTGAATGCAAAAAGGGCATAAAAATGATTTTAAAGCAATACAAATTTCAAGGTTTTCACACACACATGAATGGTCTAAGACAGGGGTCTCCAAACTATGGCCCTCCAGGTGTTGAGGAACTGCAAGTCCCATGAGGCCTTGCAAGACTCGGACAGCCACATGCTAGACTCCCAGAGGCATGATGGGACTTGTAGTACTTCAACAGCTGGAGGGACATAGTTTGGAGACCCCTGGTATAGGAGGACAAGCTTCCAAACAGTGAAATACATACCCTTACGATGAAAAGCTCTGCTCCTAGCTGAGCTGTCTGTTCAGTTGAGAGCTGCCAAAGAAGCACATTGGATTCTAAGCACATAATCAAAAAAAACCTTATTCGCTTTAAGAAAAAAAAAAAAAAAAAAAAAAAAAGAAGAATTAAAGCTGACTTTTAATCAGCTCCAAATTGTATTTTTGCTGCCCCCCCACCAGCCTAAGAAACTTTTGAATAAAACTTTTCCATTTTCATTAGATCCCTTATTTCCGATACAGTGATGTCATCACTGAGTTTCTGCAATGCAGATAGATCATGGCTGGTGGGAGGAGTTAGCAAGATGGTATACATACACTTCTGAAAACATCATAGGACCCTGCCCTATTCTCCTCTCAAGAGCCTACAGCCCCGATGCAGACAAGAGGCTGGCACTTAGTTGGAGTTATGCGAATATTTATTTCAGGTACTTATATAGCCCATCAATTTATGCAGCGCTTTACTTACACACACACACACGTCCCTAACCCTCAAGGGGCGTACAATCCAAGGTCCCTAACTCACATTCATACATACACATACTAGGGCCAATTTAGACAGGATCCAATTAACCTATCAGCATGTCTTTGTCTAGGAAACTGGAGTACCCAGAGGAAACCCACGCAGGCACAGGGAGAACATGCAAACTCCAGGCAGGTGGTGCCGTGGCTGGGATTTGAACCAACGACCCTAGTACTAGCCAGGCGGAAGTGTTAACCATTTAGCCACTGTGCTGAAGAAAATACCTTTATTAGAGGATAGGAGTGGGGGTTTCTAGACAGGCTGTATTTGCAGACTGCCCTAGGTAATGCCATCACATGATGAGGAGCCTCCATGACTGAGTTAGGGACTTGCAACACATCCTGGACCTGCCTATTCTCCTCTCAAAGTACAGCCGATGCAGACAGAGGCACGTCCTTCGTTGGAGTTAAGCGATTATTTATTTCAGTACTTATATAGCGCATCAATTTATGGGTTGTACACACCACACACGTCCCTAACCTCAAGGTTGTACGCCCCTTGAGGGTTAGGGGGGACGGGGTTTCTAGTGTGTGGAAATAAGTAAAGAGCAGCTGCATGCACAATTGAAAAGCTCAGAGTTCATCAGACTAAGCAGTTACAGTAGAGAAGAGCCTGTACAACTGTGCAAAGTTCAGCTTTGAAACAAAGCCCTGGCTGCCATCACTGTAATGCTGGGGTCCAGGGTTCAGCTTCCTGTAGGGACTCTCTGTATGGACCTTGGACACACACACACAAGGACCCGGTTCACACTAATGCGAATTCCATGTGGATTAGATCCGATCCAAAAGGCATAGAATCCTGTGTCATCTGAAAAAACATAGTTTGCTATGAAAGCGCCCTGTGCAAGTTTATTTCGGGTTTGGTGCAAATTTTATCTTCAGCTATGCCAAATTCCCTCAGAAATCAAATTAATTTGCATTAGAATCACACCTGTCACAACAGAAATCACACTGTAAAATGCATGAGATTCGCACCCCATCAGTGTGAACCAAGACTAAATAAATTTTTATTGAAAAGTCATACAGCTCCAGTGTTCTAACACGGATAAAACAATCAGTACCCACGCAATGGAATATGAACTTAAGGCATATACAATTTGTTAAATGTACATCATGATATCTGGTTACATGGTTAACAGAATTTATAAAAAAAAAAAAAAAAAAACACACACACACACACACACACACACACACACACACACATAATTGACAAACCTTTGCAGCGAGAATAGAGATAATGGCTACTGCCATCCTTTGCATGTTTTGGTCTTCATGATTACACAACCACTGCATTACAAGCTTTGCTGCATCAAATCTGGAAGAGAAGTGTACAAAATGACTGTTTACCATCACAAGGACTGACTGTTTATTAAAAATTATACCTACCATCACAACTTAGGTTGGCGATGCAGGGATCAATCGAGTTTCAATCAATGTATGGCGGCGACTGTGATTGAACAGAAGTCGACCAACTGATCGACTTCTGTGCAACAGTCCAGCTGGAAATTTAATGCTCGATCAATGCTGCAGGCTATAGACTCCACTGTGTATCAGTGTATTCTGATGGCGGGGAAGTCTCCCTGCAGTCAGAATACAAAGACACAGCAGGGAGAATTTCCTCCATGCCCCTTGAAAGTGTGGATGGGGAAACCAGGTCATTTTTTTTTTCAACCCACTGGTTGAACAAAAAAAAAAAAAAAAAAAAAAAAAAAAAAAAAAAAAAAAAAAAAAAAAAAAGGTACTGATCTATGGCTGGCCTTGAAGGACTGTACTAAGCCAGCCCCCCTTAACACGCACAGTTACTTTTTCACAAACACAGAGTAAAGAATTCCCAGAGCACCATGGTTTACACAAAGAGCAAATCTGCCTGCTTTAAAGCTTTGTTTGTCTGAGTATAACTTTGAACAAAGTGATTTGATGAGGCACTGGCATGTGTCATTTATTTCTGAGTTCATTTATAACCGCAAAGAAAAAAAAAAATTATGAAATACCTGTTGAATGGGACATCTTGCAAGATTCTATCACTGCAAAGGGACAGGAGACAGTTTTTCTGCAACTGAAACACAAAAAGGGTAATCATGTGACTATCATAATTTTAAAGACTAAGTTCACCTTTTTCAGAAAATAGCCTATCCAATGAAGGGGTCGAGTAGATATTAAAAATCTGTGCAGCTTTGTAAAATGATCACGGACTTCATTGTTTTACCTGTAGGCCATTTGGACCCCCTCAGAAGCCCGGCTAAAAAAATAAAAACTTGCTAGCCACCCCCATGACCTGCCTTGTTGCTACCACATGAAGTGTTGGATGCTCACTCCCAGCATTGCAGGAATGGAAACCCACAATTTTCGCATTCTACCAAGGACGTAGGGAGTTGCCAACTAGGAAGAGTTTTTTTTTTTAGCTAGGCCTCTGAAAGGAGACAAATGACCTACAGGTAAAACAATAAAAATTGATCATCATTTTACAAAGCTGCACATATTTTTTTAATATCTATTGGGGCCCCTTGGCTGCATAAGCGGTTTTCTGGAAAAGGTGAACTTAGGCTTTTCACTGTCAAGGATATGCACAAACTAACAGTTTGCTCACAAACCGCTCCCATGTGCAGGAAGCTGCAGGCTTAAAAGCTTACAGATGTACTATCAGCAGATACCAGGGATAACGCCCGAGCCAGATAGTTATGGTTATACTGGGAAACAGGTCTATGTCTGAACAACGTGTGTGTGTGTGTGTGTGTGTGTACATACACACATACATACACACACACATTATTATTATTATACAGGATTTATATAGCGCCAACAGTTTGCTCAGCGCTTTACAATATAACGGGAGACAATACAGCAACAATACAGTTCAATACAAAAAGGGCTAGGAGGGCCCTGCTCCTTAGAGCTTACAATCTAAGAGCATATATATATATCTATATCTCTCTATCTCTCTATACGGTTTATGTATGTATATATGCTTGAACAGTATTGTTGCTGTATTGTCTCCCGTTATATTGTATAGTGCTGCGTAAACTGTTGGCGCTATATAAATCCTGTATAATAATAAGTGTATAATATATATATATACACACACACACACACACACACACACACACACACCTCGATGATTTACGAATTTTATTTTTTCTGCGGGTACTTTTCGTATTGCGAAAGTTCGTAAACCAAAAGGCGGTTTCCCATAGGAATGCACTGGAAACTAATTAATCTGTTCAGGAGGTCAGATAAAAGGCTACTCTTAAGAGCTGTAGTTCCTAAACCCTTCCTCCAATTTGGATGTACATACCCTCAAATTAAGCCTGAGAGTGTGTACTTTCAGCCGATATCCATTCTAGAATTAAAACTTGAATATGTTTTGGTAAAATACTTGAAAAAACTAAAATTGTGCCTGTGTCCAAATATATATGGACCTAACTGTACACACACACACACACACACACACACACACACACACACACACACACACACACACACACACACACACACACCTCAGTTTACTACTCCACTTCTCTCTACAAGGCGATCAGTTTGCTCAGATTAAGACCTGGTTCACACGGATGAGATGCGGGAAAAGCAGCAAACCCTGTGTGTTTCCTGCACAGCATTGCAATCGCATAGCGTCCATGCAATCAGCTGCAGGTTTGAATGTTAAATTAACGACAACCTAAAATGTATGGGTCAAATTGCACAGCACCGACATCGTGTGTGATGTGCACAGGAATGCGGTGTCCCACACTGCACGAGTGTGAAGTGGAAGCACTCTGAGGAGAGGTTTACTATAACTGGTGCACACAGAATCTGGTCCATCTGTGCAAAGTAATCAGCATCCAACTTCAGCTTGTTTAAACTTTGACATTAAAACCTGTAAGATGGTTGGTTTCTATGCAGAGATGCACAGTTTTAGTATATTTCCTTCTCTGTGTGATTGATCTTCTAAAAGTCACATTACAAACAAATGCTAAAAAACAACTCAAATGTCAGCAAGTGAAATAAATATCCCATAGAAAAAAAAAAAAAAAAAGTGAAATTGGTAAGCTGGTGCAGATGACTAGGAGATATATAACTATTGCAGCATTGCATACAATGTTGTATTGTCTATTCAAGTCAGAGGTGCTGAGGCAAGGATTTTGGGTAGATATGTGTGCAAGTGTCATATGTATGAATGGACTCTTTTCCAGAACAGAAATTTCAAATACAGTTGTGTTCAAAAATAATAGCAGTCAGACATCACTAACCTGATCAATCACTGTTTTTGGTAGAAATGATATTTCTACATGGCAAATAATTTACTAGCAGGTGTAGTAGAGTAATAGAAATCCAACAGACCCAACAGTCATGACATGCATGCTGCTGATTCTGTGTAATTGAATCACTCATTGAAAGGGGCATGTTCAAAATAATAGCAGTGTGGAGTTCTATTAGTGAGGTCATTCATTCTTTGAAAAACAGGTGGCAATTTTTGCCCTTATTTAAGGAAGGAAGGCAGCAAATGTTGTACATGCTGGTTACAGTGCATTTCTCTCTGAAATTCTGAGGAAAATGGGTTGTTCCAGACATTGTTCAGAAGAACAGCGTACCTTGATTAAAAAGTTGATTGGAGAGGGGAAAACATATAAAGAAGTGCAGAAAATGATAGGCTGCTCCGCTAAAATGATCGCAAATGCTTTAAAATGGCAACCAAAACCTGACAGACGTGGAAGAAAGCATTCGAATGGATAGAAGAATAGCCAAAATGGCAAGGACTCAGCCAACAATCAGCTCCAAGAAGATCAAAGAAGGTGTAAAGTTCCCTGTAAGTACTGTTACAATTAGAAGACGCCTATGTGAAGCCAAGCTATCTGCAAGAAACCCCGCAAAGTCCCACTGTTGAAAAAAAGACATGTGCTGAAGAGGTTACAATTTGCCAAAGAGCACATTGACTGGCCTAAAGAGAAATGGCGCAACATTTTGTGGACTGATGAAAGTAAGATTGTTCTTTTTGGGTCTAGTGGCCGGAGACAGTTTGTCAGACAACCCCCAAACACTGAATTCAAGCCACAGTACACTGTGAAGACAGTGAAGCATGGTTGTGCAAGCATCATGATATGGGGATGTTTCTCATACTACGGTGTTGGGCCTATTTATCGCATACCAGGGATCATGGATCAGTTTGAATACATCAGAATACTTGAAGAGGTCATGCTGCCTAATGCTGAAGAGGAAATGCCCTTGAAATGGGTGTTCCAACAAGACAACGACCCCAAACACACGAGGAAACATGCAACATCTTGGTTCCAGACCAACAAGATTGATGTTATGGAGTGGCCAGCCCAATCCCCAGATCTTAACCCAATAGAAAACTTGTGGGGTGACATCAAAAATTGTAGTTTCTGAGGCAAAACCAAGAAATAGAGAAGAACTGTGGAATGTAGTCCAATCATCCTGGGCTGGAATACCTGTTCACAGGGGCCAGAAGTTGGTTGACTCCATGCAACACAGATGTACAGCAGTTCTCAGAAACAGTGCTTATACAATGAAAATATTCATGAAGTGATTCAAAGGAAAACAAAATCTTCAAACATTTTTCAGTTTATATAGTGAATGTTTGAGTTTGTAAAGAAAAATACAAACACTGCTATGTTTTTGAACAGTCTAATATTCACATTTCTTCAATTTTTTTAGAGGAACAACACAAATTTGATATATTTTTCTTCATGTTTTGATTTGGAATAGAATGTGTAGTGTTCCCAATGCATTTGTGTGTATGGAAATAAAAGCTATTAGAAGGATTTTGAGCTTTATTCACTTTGTTCAACACACTGCTATTATTTTGAACACAACTGTATGGGTTGTTTTACAAGGTGAAGGTTTACATATACTTTAATCTTTGACAATAAAACCTGGAAGCTGATATATTTCTACTGGCAAACATTAAAAACAAAAAACAAAAAAAAACCAAACAACTTGCTTTTAAACCAGAAAAAAAGACAACCCCCCCCAAAAAAAAACAAAAACAAAACAAAAACAAAAAAAAAAAAAAAAACACACAACTTGCTTAAAATTTGTAGTGCATACTATGTTCCTCCTAGAAAATGCTCAGCCCTGTGAATGATATAGGTGTACATGGTCCTACCTGCTGGTGATTTGGAAAATGTTTCATGGCTTCTAGAAGTAAGTGAGTCACATCTGCCAGGAGTTTTACAGGCATCCCTGCTGCCAGGTCCTGCTTGGTCAGGTTGAAAACACATGCGCTGGCCGCTAGTTGTACAGGTAGGTTTGTTGGATGGTTTCTCATGCCTACCACAACTAACTGGAAAAAAAAGCAAATGCCATATACACATATTACATAGAGGGAAAAAAAAAAAAACACCATCTGATTTTACAAGCTGTCAGGAGCCATTTATTACCTTTAGCATCTCTGGGTTGGCTTTATCCATAACATGCGTCAAGCTGAACAGATGAAAGAGAGCCTCCCGCACAAAGAAGGAGCGCTCACTGTAGCGGCGCAGCGCCTCAGCAATCTGTGTCTGATTTGCTTCTCCAGACACCTTTGTAAAACATACAAAAAGAAAAAAAATAATCAAACAGAAAATCATACAGGAAAAAAAAAAAAATATTGGAAGCATCAGTAAAGGCTGTCTTTGCACATTCTATGTGTGTGCATTTTCCAGCATTTTTTGCTGTAGTGGACAGGTGTACCATCTCAATAACTTCTGAACTATTTCCTGCCACGAAACAGCAACGCACAGCACAAGTGTGAATTTGCATTATTAGGCCTCGTTCACACAGGTGCACTTCAGTGTATGCTCATGTGAGAGCCGTGCTTGCCCACAAGGGGATGCAGTCTCATGCATGTCATGTGGGATGCAGCGGTTACATGGACACAGCCACTGCTCCCAATTTGCCAGCTGTGTGAGTATGTGCACTCAGGGAGCCACATCCATACTTAGGCTAGGTTCACACCTATACAGTTTGCATTTTATTTGTTCCTGTAGTGCGATTTAAGTTTTTGCACGTGTTTTTGCCACACTTTTTTTTTTTTATTGTTGCTAGACAGATTAACACACAAAATACATCAAAAACATGTAACAAAGATGCACTACATGCGTTTCTGCAGAATCTCCATTGAAGTCTATAGAACCAAAAATGCAACTTTTTGCGTTTAAAAGTCCCTGACCCTTTTCAAAAAAGCACCAGATGAAAACGTGGAGATGTGAAAGTGTCCCATAGGAAATCATGTTAAAATGGACTGTAGTGCGTTTCTGCAAAACACTGCGGAAAATGCTTAGGTATGAACCTAGACATTCTGTATATCAGATTGGAAGCAGAGGCTGTTTCCATGAAGCCGCTGTGTCCCAAATGACAAGAATGGGACTGCATGCACAGGGATGCATAGAACTCCTGATAATCAGGGTACTGATCATTAGTGCTGCCTGTCAGTCCCCTTCAGTGCCGCCTTATTAGTGAGCCTCACCAGTGCCTCTTCATGAGTGCAGCTTATAAGTGTCCATCAGTGCCGTCTCATCAGCGCAGTGCACATCAGTGAAGAAGAAAAAATTACTTATTTGCAAAATTTTATAACAGAAATGAAGAAAAAGGCTTTTTTTTCAACATTTTTTGGTTTGTTTTAAAAAAAAAAAAAAACAGTGGTGATTAAATACCACCAAAAGAAAGTGCTGTCTCAAATAAAAAGATAAAAATTTCATTTGGGTACCGTGTTGCATGACCCCTCAATTGTCCATTCAAAGTGTGAAAGCACTGAAAGCTAAAAATTGGCCTGGACAGGAAGGGGGTGAAAGTGCCCTGTAGGCAAGTGGTTAAAGAGCAAAGTCCATGAGGTGGCATGCACCTTACTGTCCTTATTACCTAGTAATACAGCACATTGTACAGTGGCTTCCTTCCTGGAGTTCCGCTTTAACCATCCTACACGGGCAAATCACAGGCTTATTTAAGGCAGAGTTAAAATGCTTGTCAAACAATACCCACATTCACAGGGTCTGCTGGAATCAAAAAGCCAACCACACTCCTTTTGCGGTGTACCAGTAGTAAAAAATAAATTTTGAGTCACTTCTAGTCAGGCTAAATACATATTGCTGACATTTGTAATTGCAGATTAATACACAGATTTGCTCAATTGTTTTTTTATTTGGCTAAATATATTGTGGCAGACTTGTCTTACCTGCAAGATATATACAAGTCATGAAGCTCAGCAATCTACATTTCACTGGGCCAATCAGATTTGTCACTAGGGAAGGGGGGGGGGGGGGGTCCAAAGTCTTGTGTAAGCCAGAGACAGCCAGCTTACCCATGGTTGCTCTCAGTGGCTGAAAAGAACGGTGAGGAGGTGAAAGGAAGGCAAGCATGTCACTGGGAACGGCAGCAATAAAGTTAACCTGTTGCTTTGCATGGTAGTAGATCATCGACTCAAGAGATGGGGGGAGGGTTGTAGAAGTAATATTATGCCATGACATGCTGCTGCTAGACTCATACACCTTACCAACCAATCAGTGACTGCTGCCCCTCTCTGCCAATCCATTCATTGGCTTCCACTAACCCAACGTATAAAATTCAAAATACGAACTACAGCTCACAAAGTCATCCACAACACTGCCCCTAGCTACATCGCCAACCTCATCTGCAGATATCGGCCAAAATCACCCACTCCACTCCTCCCAAGACATCTTCCCCTCTAGCTCCCTCATCACCTCCTCCCACGCTTGCCTCCAGGACTTCTCCAGAGCCTCTCCATCCTCAGGAACTCCCTACCACAGTATGTCCTGTCAGCCCCCACCCTGTCTGCCTTTAGGCGATTTTTGAAAACTCATTTATTCGGGGAAGCCTACCCCACCTCCACCTAAGAACTGTACTTGAATCATCTTCACCAGATCATCCCCCTCAGCTATCACCGTTTGTATCACCTCCCCTTTCCTTTAGATTGTAAGCTCCACGAGCAGGGCCCTCCTATTCCTTCTGTACTGAAATGTATTGTAATTGTACTGTCTCCCTTATATTGTAAAGAGCTGTACAAACTGTTGGCGCTATATAAATCCTGTATATTATTAATAATAATAATGTGATGGATTCCCTGGATTTGGGTTCTCAGGATACTGCAGACTTTAAGGGTTGGAAGAACAAAGCAATCATGTCAGTAAAATAAAATTGGACAAAACGTCTTCCCTGAAAAAAAAAAAAAAATAAATAATACTTACGTCTCCCACTGCCTGTAAACAAAAATGATCTTACTGTAAAAGAACAAAATACAGAAATGTCAGAAGCAGACATATGGCATTCGCACCTTCACATTTCCATCTCCAGAAAGAAGCTCAGAGTACCCAGCCTCAGTGGCTAAGAGACCAACAAACTGGATCTGAGGGCGCTGCGTGAGAAAAGCCTCCACTGCCTTATCCGTAACATGCTTCCTTCCAGAGATGTCCAATGAAACCAGGTTGAGTAGAATATCGTTCTGCTCTAGCAGGCGACAAGCTATGTCTGACGTGAACTGCTTGTCATCAGATATATCTAAATGGTTAAGATGCTTCAGCTCCTTGATTACTTCTAGGATTTGCGTGGTTGTCATTTTTAAACACTTCAAGTGGTGCATTGTGAGGGATTTCAATCTGTCTTTGCAACCCAGAAGGGCAGTAATGTCAGTCACTGAGGTGTTGGAGATATCCAAACTTTCCAACCTGGGAAGTGAGGCAACATCCGCCAGGTCTTCGTTATAAAACCGAACATTGGTGATGCTCAGGGCCCGAAGTCCAGACAGGCGGCTAAAGCATTGTTCATATGGATCCTCCAATGATAAAGTAAGAGAGTTCAGGACTAGACATTGGAGGTTTTCCCGGATCCATTTACTACTACTGAGCCCACTGATGATGTCAGTAATGGTTATGTCTGCATTGACCCCAGTTGCATCTAGCTCCACCAACTTGTGGTGGCAAAACGCCCTACGAAAGGCTACAGCAGATATCTTCGCCTTGCGGATGCAGGCACGCTTCAGCCTTAACTGATTTCCGCGGAAAATTCCTACAGACACTTCATTTAGTTTTCCTAAAATTGAAAAAACAGCAACACTTTTATAAAGACATAAAGCACCAGCAATTTATAATTCCTTATTATTCTGGAAATAAAATAAAAGGGAAGCCATCATTTTAACCTAAATAATCAACTTGTAATTATGTGCCCCATCTGCTTTAACTGGGGAGTTTAAAATACTGGTGCATGTTATTCAATACCTGTGAAGGTAGAGTGTGCCAGGATCTTACAATAAGGAAGGGGGGGGGGGGGCACAAAGAGGAACCAGGTTGCAACACACTAAGGGGTATATTTACTAAAGTGGTCATAAACCTCCGAAATGAAAAATGAACAAAGTACATCCTTCTATAGTGTGTACTAAAATAGTGTGTGATTTTTTGGCTACAGTCTCTTTTGCTATCTGCAAAAGTCACTTCTGACAGGTTACACCAGGAAGGGAGGGATGGCTCCAGCACACTGCCTGCGATTGACAGCCTCAGCTGTGCAGGTTTCCTTATGAGAGTGTGTAGACTGGGGGGGGGGGGGGGTCCATTCACTCCATTCGGGTCTCGGAGTAAACCTAAGTAAAACTTTACCACTTTTAACCCCTATAGAGAAGAGATGGCTGCAAATAAATGGTTACAAATTATGTAGATAGATTTGTTTAATCTCTAAGTATCACCTGAGGCTTGTCACGTCATTGGGTATATCTAAGGGTTTACAACCACTTTAATGTTTTCACCCAAGATTCACACATAATGGACTGAAATTGGATATAAATAGTCCTTACAGGCCACAAATGTAAAGGATTACCAAGCAAAATAGTAGTTGCCAAAAGGAGGTGACACAATCAAACTCATACACAGGAGAATTGATTTAAGCACTTCTTTTCTAATACCCTTTACATAAGAACACGGTTTTGCTTGAAAAATACCCACAGATGTCTGGCTTTTTGGAAATGGACTTGACTAGCTAAAGATCTCCATTCAAACACTCTAATAAAACAAATACTTCTACACCTTTGTAAATGGAGACCCCAGTCATTGCCCTGTATCAAGAGAACAGTTGGTTATTGGCTAAACCTAATCAAAGCTGTGCCCAGGGCTTTTGTCCCTTTATGTCAGACTTTCTCAACCTTTTTAACATGGAGGAACCCTTGAAATGAATTTCTGGTCTCAGGGAACCCTTGTTAATAATTACTATATCTACAACTCGTGAAACATTACTGTGATGGTCAGTAGGAAGAGTGCTTCTTAGATTTGTGATCAATAAGGGGAAAAAAAGCGCGCCCCCTACCCGGAGATGCAAAATCATATACACACAAATTTTATATATATATATATATATATATATATATATATATATATATATATATACACACATATACATATTTTGCAAGTTCTCCCACTTAGAAATCATGGAGGGGTCTGAAATTCACATTGTAGATGCATTCCCACTCAGAGACAGAATTTAAAAAAAAAAAAATTCAGGAAATTACATTGTATGATTTTTAAAGAATTTATTTGTCTTGCACTGCTGAACATAAGTATTTGAACACCTAAGAAACAGCAAGAATTCTGGCTCTCAAAGACCTGTTACTGTGCCTTTAAAAAGTCCACCTCTACTCCACTCATTAATCTAACTTAGTAGCCCCTGTCTGAGCTCTTTAAAGACACCTGTCCACCCCACAGTCAGTCAGACGCCAACTACTACCATGGGCAAGACCAAAGAGCTGGCAAAAGGGACACCAGAGACAAAATTGTGGCCCTCCACAAGGCTGGAAAGGGCTACGGGGCAATTGCCAAGCAGCTTGGTGAAAATAGATCAACTGTTGGAGCAATTGTTAGAAAATGGAAGAGGCTAAAGATGACTGTCAGTCACCCTCGGACTGGGGCTCCATGCAAGACCTCACCTCGTGGGGTATCACGGATGATAAGAAAGGTGAGGAATCAAGGGATGAGCTGGTCAATGACATGAAGAGAGCTGGGACCACAGTTTCAAAGGTCACTGTCGGTAGAACAGTACGCCATAATGGTTTCAAATCATGCATTGCACGGTAGGTTCCCCTGCTTAAGTCATCACATGTCCAGGCCCATCTGAAGTTTGCCAATCACCATCTGGATGATCCAGAGGAGGCATGGGAGAGAGTCATGTGGTCAGATGAGACCAAAGTAGAACTTTTTGGTCTAAACTTCACTCGTCGTGTTTGGAGGAAAAAGAAGGATGAGTTGCATCCCAAGAACATCATCCCTACTGTGAAGCATGGGGGTGGTAACATCATGCTTTGGGGGTGCTTTTCTGCAAAGGGGACAGGATGACTGCACTGTATTAAGGATGAGGATGAATGGGGCCAATTATTGTGAGATTTCGAGCAACAACCTCCTTCCCTCAGTCAGAGCATTGAAGATGGGTCGTGGCTGGGTCTTCCAACATGACAACGACCCGAAGTGCACAGCCAGGATAACCAAGGAGTGGCTCCGTAAGAAGCATATCAAGGTTCTGGAGTGGCCTAGCCAGTCTCCAGACCTAAATCCAACAGAACATCTTTGGAGGGAGCTGAAACTCCGTGTTGCTCAGCGACAGCCCCGAAACCTGACAGATCTAGAGGAGATCTTTGTGGAGGAGTGGGCCAAAATCCCTGTTGCAGTGTGTGCAAACCTGGTCAAGAACTACAGGAAACGTTTGACCTCTGTAATTGCAAACAAAGGCTTACAATGTGATTTCCTGAATTTTTTTTTTTAAAGTCCGTCTCTCAGAGTGGGAATGCACCTACAGTGGGAGAACTTGCAAAATCGCAGGGTGTTCAAATACTTCTGTTCCATATATATATATACATACACATACATACACACACACACACACACACACACACGTGATTTTGATCAGCCCTGCCACCCTGTAGCAGTAGTTTTGCTATTGGGCGGCCAGGAAGCCGTTAAAACAGATGAGCAGTAATTACAATATTATTATAAAAAGAAACAAAAAAAAACCCACAGAAAAAAAAAAAAAAAAAACTTACTTTGAATTGCCATAGTTTGTAAAAGCCGATCGGCGACTTCCTGTGGAAACACTGCAGCATCTTGTAAACAGAACGTTCCATCTGGTCTCTCCTTGCAAAACTTTTCTAAGTTGGAGCTCAAATAGTGCAGAGTTATATCAACTAGTGAACTGGGAGAAGCTTCCTCCTAGGAGAAGAATATATGTAGAGAAATATTACAGTGCTTTTCCAGAAAAATTTGATGCAACCTTTTAAAAAGAAAACATTGTAAAAATGATAAAACTATTCACAAAGTGGTTGGACAGCCTGGAGCATGGGTGAACTAACAACAACTGAATTAGTCTTTACATAATTATATTTACAATGTTTTTAAATATGAACTCCAGGAATTATATTTTTTACATTTAAAATGCACTGTGCTACAAAAAGTTGGTGCTGGTCTCTTCCAGGTGCTGCTTAAGCGACTGGCCTTCAGTATATTGTTGCTTACTTAGCTCCTCCACCAGAATGGCTTGTTTTTTTTTCCAAATATAAAAGACATTATCTGATAGGATGAAGTAGATATCGTCACATCCACTGCTGGAGTTCAGCTTTAAGGCTTTGTTCCTCAAGAAATGTACAAAACACAGCTTAAAGTGACTGTCACTATAGGGACAAAACAAAAACAAAGCCACCCTGTGTATACTTACCTTTCCAGCAGACCAAGTATTAAAACTGTGTTGCGGATCCCTGAACCAGTACAGGTCATTTTAATGTACATCGCAGAGGGCTTCATGCTAGCGGTTGACGAGTGGTGAAGTCCACAGTTGAGTCACGTTTTTACTGGTCTTGGTGGTAGGTCAGTGATGGTCTGGGGAGGCATATCCATGGAGGGACACAAAGACCTCTACAGGCTAGACAATGGTACACTGACTGCCATTAGATATCGGAATGAAATCCTTGGACCCATTTTCAGACCCTAAGCTGGTGCAGTGGGTCCGAGGTTACTCCTGGTACACAACATTGCCCGGCCTCGTGGCAAGAGTATGCAGGCAGTTCCTGGAGGATGAAGAAAACTGATACCATTGAATGGCCCCCACGCTCGCCTGACCTAAATCCAATAGAACACCTCTAGGATATCATGTTTCGGTCCATCAGAAGATGCCAGGTTGCACCTCAGACTGTCCAGGAGCTCAGTGATGCTCTGGTCCAGATCTGGGAGGAAATACCCCAGGACACCATTAGTCATCTCATTAGGAGCATGCCCCAAAATTTTCAGGCATGCATTCAAGCACATGGGGGCCATACAACCTATTGAGTACCATTTTGAGTTGCTGCAATGAAATTTCAGCAAAATGGACTGGCCTGCTGCATCATTTTTTCACTTTGATTTTTGGGGTGTCTTTGTATTCAGTCCTCTGTAGGTTGAGATTTTCATCAAATGATGGGGCATCCTTATGTTCCTAACACATTACCCCGTCCATATCAGTATAAAAGATCCAGCATGAAATATTTCCACACTGAGATCTGATGTGTTTTCAAAATGTTCTTTTGAGTAGTGTATAAATCCTTTGGCAGGTAAAACCGCTATGTGTATTTATAAAACCCTATCAGTGTATTTAGTGGTTTGCCTGGAGTTTAGCTTTAAAAGCAGACCTTCCCCGTTGTATTACTTTAACTTTCCTTTGCTCTGCCTCTGTTTGCCTGTGGAAGTAAACAGTAGAAGCCCTGGTTAAGATCCAAGTCACTCAGATTTGAATCACACAAAGCAAAAGACTTTACCCCTGCCAACACGTAACACAGCCAGATGATCGGTTAATTAAGGATGAAGCAATGAACTGGGCATTTAGGTGAACTGATTGCCTCAAAAGAGTGTATAGCAGCTTAGAAAACTTCACCTTCTGACTATGTCAGGGCTTGGAACCCTTAGCAGATGTATATTATAATATATCTTACATTCCTCCGAGTACCTGCAAAGGACATATAATCAACCTCACACTGTCTTTTATAAAATACTTACAGTTACGACTCCACAACCTACAATTTTCTAATTGTTCTCCGATTGGGGTTCTCAGTTCCAAAGGCCCTAAAGGCTTGGATTCCTTGTTTTATTCCCACTTAATATATACTAAGCTTACCAGAATGCCCCTGGCAGTCCCTACAAATGGCAGTCTTTGATTCCATATCTTACTGATGAGGACTGGAAGGAAGCTTGTTCTTCTGGACCGAGTGTGGCAGTCACAGGACAGCATTGAACAGAGTGCAGGAGTTGCCAGGATTAACGGTTTGTGATTGGCCGTTAAGACCGCCCTGCAACCAATCACCTGCTGGTTAACTTGAAAAGTTAACACCGATAGCTCCAGCTCCCACACTCAGTCCAATGCTGTGCCTCCCCCACTCCAGAAATATTGTTCTCTGCTCTGTTATAACAACATCGGCGGACGCTGGTGGAAAGAAGAGGCTCCTGAATGGCGTGACCACGAGTCTGGAAGGAACAGTGACTCAGTCCACCATTTAATGATGCCTGTACTAGAATATACTGGAGGGAGACCGTATTTTTTGCTCATAAGCTTATTGTACTTAAAAGCAGAGCTCCGCCCAAAAGGGGAAGTTCTGCTTTAAGGACTGCTCCCCCACTCCCCATTAAAGATTGGCACCTTTGGGGGGGGCGGGGGGAGCGGGGTACCCGAATTTGACAGGTAGCCGTTCCCACTTCCGGTCCGATCACCTAGGTGACCGGAAGGTGTCCTCCCTCCCTGTAGTCCTTTGGGACACGTGACAGGTCCCAAAAGACAACAGGACCATTCATGAAGCGCAGCGCTACTCGCGCATGCGCAGTGGGTACCCGGCTGTGAAGCCGAAAGCTGTCAATATTTCTTAGGATTTTCCAAGTATTCATTAAGGGTCTCTACACTGAAGATGCCGGCCTCCTGGAATACAGGATGGCCGGTGAAACGGGCTGCAGGGGACACACCGCGGGACCAAGGGCAGGTAAATGGCTGTTTGGTTTTTTTTTTTTAAAGTCAGCAGCTACAGATTTTGTAGCTGCTGACTTATTTTTTGACAGAGTGAGTGGAACTCCGCTTTAAATAGCTACAGCCCTCCTCTCCTTCAATCATTCTTGTTATGTGCAATTAACCAGGTTCTGCCCTATGAAACCGTTATTTACGTAAACATACAGGGGGTTGGCCTCCGTAAATATAATAAAATATGGGATGTGTGGTGTGCTTCTCCCCTAACATTAACACCCACTTCAGAGTGTGTAGAGTGGGTAGGGAGGAACCAAGGAGGGTAAATTATAAGTCGATTAATTTTCAGCTTTAAAAACAGACTTAAAGAAGATCTACCATTAGAATTTATTTTATTGCAAGAGGAATGCAGAGCCTGACATGTTTCTGCTCCCTTTGCATTCCTCTTGCCACTGTTGCTGGTCTCTGGAAGAGTGTTCATAGCCAAGACAAGCAGCACTTGTGAATCAGCCATCTCCTCATAGCTACTCTCGGAAACATTTAATAACATGGAACAAAGTAATACATGTACTTTTTTTCAATAGGGCCAGGACTGTAACACCAAAAAAAATAAAAAATTATATAAAATTTTATTTATTCACGTTTTTTAATACATCTCCTTTAAAAGTAGAACTCCAGACAAAAATTTTATTTTACTATGCAGTGCCCCCCACTGAATGAGTCAACTGCTTGTTTTTTTCTAGAGGTGAGCACAAAGCTCATACTCACCTGACCCGCGGTCCATTTAGCATGCTGACATCAGGAACAGCCCATTTACAAGACCACTGGACCGTGGGGGGCAGGAGCCGAAGGGATCGGTCTTGTGAAGGGGGAGATTGGCAAGTCAGGTAAGTATATCTCCACTGTCCTTTCCCCTAGAACAAAATGAGCAGTTAAACCATGCAGTGCAGGCCCGGGCCCAGCCCCACTGAATGGGTAAAAAACAAATTTGCTTTGCAAATCTGCTTTGTAAAAATTAAAAAAAACTTTCTTTAAACAACATTTAACTAAAAAGTATGGAATCTTGGAACCACTCAGCTTTTTATTTCAATGAGTATTCTGATTAAACAGGTGCAATATCTTTCAATGAACGCACACAGAGTTTATGTAAGTACAAAAAAAAAAAATCCTATTTTCTTTTTTAACTACTGTGGGGGTCACTGCTCTGCTTTGGATGATCACTTACTGGGATGTCCCAAAGCAGTGGCACAATGGAGCAGGCAAATGAAGAAAGAAAGGAAATCTAGACAGACTGTCAAAGAAAAAAAACAAAAAAAAAAAAAACAAAAAACAACAACTCTACAGGTCAGTCAGACTACTGCCTGTAAAACTTTACACCACAAACTGGCAACAACTGAAGCTGCCACATCCACTTTGTGAATGGCAATGACCAAGTGGTGATCTTAAAAACCTTTAATATTGACACCTGATGGTAGAAAGCCTAGGATGAACTTACCACACTGGTTGAGGGAGCCATCCACAGAAAACTGGTTCTCAGTGCTTGATGCCATTACTTGTACAATGGTTTGCTGGATCCAGCACATGATCGTAGCAGTTGACGCTACAAGACCCTTACGGTGGCCCCCTACAAGCATCAACAGGTAGTCTTCCAAAACTAGCTTAGTGTACAGTGATGGAAGCATAATGCCCTCATTCAGGTGGAGAGCTGATCCCGCTTTTGGTAAGAAGGTCTTGGATGCAGGATGACTATATCCTAATGTTAATCCTAATCAACTAAGGAGGTTTGCAAGAAAATACTGCCTGTTCCCATACCGTGTGCCAAAGTGATAGTCATCAGAAAAGCCACTTTCTGGGAGAAAGTCAGTAGCGGGATCTCTCTAAATGTTCTCGAAGGATGGTTTCTGCAAAAATCAATAATACTAGAGACTAAGGTCCTACAGTGACAATGGCGGATTTATAGGAGCAAGATGCTTAGCTCCTGGAATGAAAGTGTGGACAAGTGGCAGCAATGCCAGCAGGAGTTGGAACACAACTGCCAACACTGACACTTGGCCCTAAAAGCCTCTTGCACACTGTAATGATGTATAAGTATCAAACATTCCTGGCAGAAAGAGGCGAGGATGAGCTGTTCATCACATACACGTATTTGAGAGTATGCACATAAAACCAAGAAGTGTGGCATTCGTGTGTTAGTGTGTATTTGTGAGTATACACGCAAAAATACTGACTGGCAGCTCCG